AGCAGACATTTTTACCTTCTGTTTCTAAGGCAGTTAGCGGACATTTTCACCTTCTGTTTCTAAGGCAGTTAGCGGACATTTTCACCTTCTGTTTCTAAGGCGGTTAACTGCCATTTTCATTTTCTGCTTCTAAGGTAGTTAGTGGACATTTTCACCTTTTGTTTCTAAGGCGGTTAACGGACATTTTCACCTTCTGTTTCTAAGGCGGTTAACGGACATTTTCATCTTCTGTTTCTAAGGCAGTTAGCGGACATTTTCACCTTCTGTTTCTAAGGCAGTTAGCGGACATTTTCACCTTCTGTTTTAATAGAATGCTAATATCTGTGAAATTAACGTAACTGGTGAATTTGAAGAAAGTGTATGGAATGTGCGTTTATTGTCAATAATATTCTAAGATTATTTAAAAAATAAAATATATATTTTTTCTTTGTTTACAACACAGAATTTCAGTTACACAATACACAAAGTATAATTGGGCAGGGAACATGTCTGAGCCAAGAGAGAAGCTTATTTTATAAGAGGCTGGTTTTTCACAAGATGTATTATATTATGCTGGTATATATTTGTCTGTTGTATATTACACACGTTAAATAAATTCAAATTTTTAAATATGTTTACAAATTTAAGGTCATACTTCAACAATGGGTTATTTGTTTCAATGTTACTGTTAGTTTTTGCATAATGTTGCACTATTTCGTCATTTTTCAGTAAAGATTTCGGGTGCCAGTCTTTTCATAATACAAAATCGGATCGTTTCTAAAGCAAAGAGAGACTTGATATATTTAACACATAGGCAAGGAATAAAAACTAATGTGTAAGGTGAAACCTTAATCACATTCATCTTGAAAAACTAATGTGTAAGGTGAAACATTAATCACATTAATCTTGAAAACTAATGTGTAAGGTGAAACATTAATCACATTCATCTTGAAAACTAATGTGTAAGGTGAAACATTAATCAGATTCATCTTGAAAACTAATGTGTAAGGTGAAACATTAATCACATTCATCTTGAAAACTAATGTGTAAGGTGAAACCTTAATCACATTCATCTTGAAAAACTAATGTGTAAGGTGAAACATTAATCACATTCATCTTGAAAACTAATGTGTAAGGTGAAACATTAATCACATTTATCTTGAAAACTAATGTGATATATTTCTAAAATCAGGATACATTAAAGCTAACCTTGCACTTCGACAGTCAATATGCTTTAAAGGCATAATTTTGAGACCTTTTTGTTTTTCTTTGTTGAAATTCTAAAACTATAAAGTTTCTAATTATATTTTTTTGTTTTCTCACCAACTTCAACTTGTACTTCTAAAACTGGGTAGAATAACCTCATGGGAGGTTACGAAAAAGTTACCCTCACAATTAATATATGTATATAGATATTTCATAATAATATTTTGTTAAATTAGAATATTTCCTTGATGTTGTAATACGTAAATTTTTCACTTGTGGAATAAGTTGCCAAAATTTCATGACATGTTTGTTTGTTTGTTTTTGAAGTTAAGCACAAAGCTACACAATGGGCTATCTGTGCTCTGCCCACCACGGGTATCGAAACCTGGATTCTAGCGTGGTAAGTCCGTAGACATTCCGCTGTGCTACTGGGGGGATTTCATGTCATAGTGCAATAGATATTGCAAAGAAAAAACAACAACATTATACCAAATACTAAATCGCATGTTTTTCATGAGTCAACCGTTAGATATATATCTAACTGTGCATATCCAACATTTCCCTCAACGGGCCATAACTTAAATGAACATGAAACTAGCCCTGAATCCATTGGAGTATCGTAACCTATTTCAGTACGCCGTATTAGTCATTTCTTTATCAGTGGGATATTTCCATGATAATACTTGTCTAGAGCTTCTTAAAAGAGATGACAAAACAATAATTTTATGAAATACATATAGTGTTTAGCACCGGAAGTGTATTTTTACGACACCTCTATTTCCGGTTTAAAATGTTAGTTGTTTTTCATTAGATTTTTTGCACACAAATGAACACAACACTAAGGAATCTGTAACAGTAAACGAAAATTTAGTTTCTAATAAATAAGTTTTTTTTTGTAATTTGTAAAGTCCTTTTGAAATAATAGTTTTCATAAATTATATTATCTATATAGTCTAACTTCTTGGGAATTTTATCCTTGATACAATCCAGAAGGCGGAAAGGTTTCTCTTCTTAACTGAAGTTGATGGAATAGATGATGTAGTAAAAATAATTTTTCGTATTATAGACCATACATAACGAGGATTGAAATATTCGGAATTTATAAAATATTTGAAAGGTGTGCTCATTCTGAATTATCCGAAACAAAAAAAACGGTGTTGTTTTCTGATGATAATTACATTAAGTTACATAAGAAGGAGGTAAGTTAAAATAAGACAATAGTTTAGTAATAGTTGCTCACGTTTTTAAGTTAAAATAATAAGTTGGACCTCAGTGCCCCTTTAAAAGTGTTTTTACCGTTACACACCACGCTGTGTTTTTTTAAAACAACTACAATTTTTTATTATTAATTTTATTCTTTATTTTAATGACCATCACAAATATTTATCACATACGCTTTCTTACCCTTGTTTTGTGATAAGGCATATACAATCTAAACTTATGGCAAATTATGTCTTAGTTAGGATGAAAAATTGATAAATATATAAAAATTGCTTTGATTACGATAAGCAACCAATCAGATTTATGAATCTTCGTTGACTAGTTGATACACGTTTTGTACACGAGGATCAACATGTGTATGTTTACAGAGTTTAAATATCATTCCTTTTGATCCATATTAGAAGCACTCAACCAATTAAAATCTTTCAATTTTAAACTAAACCAATTAATATCTTTCAATTTTAAACTCAACCAATTAAAATCTTTCAATTTCAAACTAAACCAATTAAAATCTTTCAATTTTAAACTCAACCAATTAAAATCTCTCGGAACTCTGTTAAAAGTAATTCTACAAAACGCGCGATTTTGTTTTTTACCCTTCCAAAGTCGGTATTCTCCTGACGCCTTTTCACGTTTGAGGAAAACACAAGTTACCCCGACACTTTAATGAGATTTAAGTATAACTTAAACAAACTACTAATTCGTTTTGTTTCTTCAAAGATTCTGAAGAGATTCGAATTCCTCTTGTCACATCACATTCACAGCTAACTTTGCACGTCTGTCAACATCGCTTCACTGGGAGTTGCCTTAATCAAAAGTGGAGGGTGAACACAATGTATATTGATTTAACTTTATATGTAAAATGAGCTACGAGTGGTAATGACTAAACAAACAAACGATCTTATAAAAACAAATACAGAGCGTTTAAGTTCCTACACGCTTCTCATCTGCAGAACAAACAACGCGATGCCAAGTGAGAAACGCGAGATAATTTGGTCGTCTTTGTTTGTTATTCTTATTTTGATGGAAGTTGTGTAAATGGTAGTTGCATAATTTCGTGGATTGTCCTTTTTACAGAATATTGAAATATTGTGTTATCCTTAGCTATATATATACACACGATGTGTTAATTGTCAACCATAGCTCTTCTGAACCGGATATGACATAATGGTTAACATTCTGGGCTGTGGATCTGAAGGTGTAAGATTCGAATTGCTAAGTTTTGTTTAACACCATCTACACCTTCACCCGTGAGGTTGTTATAACTTTGACAAACAAACTCCCATTTTCGGTTCAGAGTAGCCACATTGGTAGAGAGCGCTGCCTACTGGTTGCCCCCTCTTTTGACCACCAGGAGTGGCTATGCCGTTTGCCCATGTATTGGATAATGTGACATTCAGGTTGAAATTACCAGTTATTTAGCTATCTTACTTCATTCCGTTTGTTTTAAGTATATGAAACACTAGTGCACATGTGAGCTGGTGAATATGGCTGTCTTGTTTGATTCATTAAGATTTTGTAATGTGCATGACACTCGTATGTTCTTATCGTCTGTCTCCCAGACTAACAGATCTATATTTCATGTTACTGTTGCAGGGAATGGTGAAATCACAAAACAAAGAGATGGCGTCGAAGATAGATGATATAAGCTCACTGAGACAAGGTAGGTGTTTCTGGCCAGATGAAACCACTGACCTAGACATCTTGGATGACCTAGAAAAGTCCCGCGGTGCCACCAAGAGACCATCCGGTTCAGCAGAAGATCCTTCTCCCAACAGCGAATCCACAGACTCGAGCTCTGTAAGCGACGAGATTACCATCCCGACAAAACCCAAGCAACAAAGAAGGTCGTCAACGAACGGACGTAGACGGCGACAAACCTTGAATGCGAGAGAGAGAAATCTTCGTCGGTTAGAAAGTAACGAAAGAGAGCGCATGCGCATGCACAGCTTAAATGATGCCTTCCAATCCCTCCGAGAAGTGATACCCCATGTTGCAATGGAGAGAAAATTATCGAAGATAGAAACACTGACACTAGCAAAAAACTACATAATGGCACTTACAAATGTGGTTTGTGAGATGAAAGGAGAAAACAAACCCTACAAGCTGTTACCAGAAAACCGAGATAGCAACAACAACGACAATGAAGATCGCGTCGATATGGCAGTTGGACTTTCTGAAAGTGCATTAAATTTTAAAGAAATAAACCCCAACTACCAGGGGAAACTGGAAGGAGTAGACATCACTCAGTTCGAGGTTCCCTCTCGAGACTCCAACGCTCTTTAGTTGTTAAATTTTTAGCACGTGAATTTCGAATCTATAAACAAGAAGCGTTTGTAGCCATATTCCATAAGGATCGTAAATTAATATCGATATCATGATTAACGCTCATCTTCAGTTTTTTTTTTTAAATCTAATCGGTTCTAGAAATTAATTAAAGCGTTTTATTAGATTCGAATTTTACAGGGTCGACATTTAATGAGGAGAGGAAAGAGAAATTATCTAATATAAAAATATCATAAATTGGCTAGAAAATGTAAAATAGAATCACATATGCATATTTTATAAGAAACTAAAAGCACATTTCTTCTTTGTAAAAGTAAAACTGGAAAGACATAAATATATTTTTTTTGGCAGTGAGTTGGAATTTACACTATAAACTGAAAAGCTAGAAATTCTAAATGATAGACTTAATGCCAATATTTACATATCATTATCATCACGAGAGTGTTCACTGTGGATTTTCCATTATTATTGTACTCATAATCACGCAAAGGAAAAAAAAATATAGGTAAAAAATGTTCGAATTTTGGAGTGAGAGGAGTAGCAGTAGCCGATAATCGTGATAACGTTAATTACATTTAAAAGTATATATTTAATAAATAAATGTGTGTAATAATAACAGTTAAGTACTCTTACTAAGATATGTTTTTATTTTGAATGGTTTATAAAGTTCTTTATGTTTAATATGTTTTTATTTTCGTCTTGAAGAAATTGTTAACAGGTTAACAACGATCTATTTGTTTTTTTAAGTTAATTCTTAATTTGATAAACGAATGACTGAAACAGTTGTTGCTTCGGATTATCAAACTCTTTTTCGTTCTAGAGTTTTCGGTCAGAGAAGTGCACGCTCTAGTCCTATAGATGATGATAATGTTGTCTTCTATCTACAGATATTGCACTGTGAACGTTATTATTAGAAACGCGACTATAGACTGAAAGTGACGACTGACACAGGAAGATGAGAGGTGGAGATAGAGTTGTAATGATAGTTGTAAATCGATTAACGTTTTTTTTTCCCCATTTGGTGTCTCGTGGATTTCGTATGTGTGTGTGTGAATGGAATATGTAACTTGAGCTATAACTAAGCATCTCATTGCACAGCTAACGTTCACGTGATTTTTACTGTTAAAATTCTGAAAACAAGAGGGAAATAATACTTCTAAGTGATCGCGCTCTGAATGTAAAGTCTTCTCCAATCTTTTAACCTTAAGGTCGTAGTTCAGTCGTTGTTGAAGGACGTTTTGCTGCTATAGTGTTGTGCACTAGGTATTCTGGAATCTACAACAGACGAAAAGCTCCACGGTGGTTGAGTGATAAGTCTGCAGGCTTACGACGCTGAAATTCAGGTTTCGATACCCGTGGTGGGCAGAGCATAGATAGCTCATTGTGTTGCTTTGTGTTTAACAATAACCGAACTAACAGACTAAAATTAAGTAGGCATTTTTTGTTTTCAATTCTCCCAGTAACGAGCTAACCCAGAAAACAAAATAGCACGAGTTAACCCGGCAAATACATTAGCGATGGTTATCGTTTCTGATCTTGAATAACAAAAAACAAAACACACCAAATCCCCTAGAATCTAAGCCTAAGTTCTGGTTCGTGAAGTCTGAAAATTTGGTTCTTATTCTAAAGTGTATACAACTTTATATGAGGAAGAGTAAGTGGGTGCGGACACGTGATTGTATGGTGTCTGTTTCAACTTGTTTTTTTTTAGACCGTTACTGATTTCTATACCGCCACAACTTTACAATATGCCTTCCTTTGGACCCCCTAGAGGCACAGCAGCATGTCTGCTAACTTACAACGCTAGAAACTGGGTTTCGATACCCGTGGTGGGCAGAGCACAGATAGCCCATTGTGTAGCTTTGTGCTTAATTACAAACATACAAATAAATAGAGGAGCATTCTAAAACTAAATTAAAAAAAACAACAACAACTGTTATGTAGTTATCTATTTTATATATATTCTATAATCTAATTAAAAGGTCGAATCCTTTAAAAACACTATAAGCTGTCAGTTCGGTGTGAAACTAAGATATTTTAAATACCAGGCCTAGTATTATTTATGATCGATATATGAAACCTTCCTCCCAATGGCTCAGCGGTAAGGTTGCGTTCTTACAACGCCAAAAATCTGGTTGCGATACCCGTGGTGGGGAGCAAAGATAACGCATTGTGTAGCTTTGCACTTAATAACAAACTAACCAACTAATACCACACCCACTTCCTTTACCAGTATTCCAAAATCGTTTTCCATCCACTGTTAGGTTGATAATTTCATAAGGTTGATTTCGGTTAGATCGGGTAAGCGCATCCCGTTTTTAGTTTTGGATATTCTGTACTGCTTGTATTTAAAGTGAAAATTAACATTAATATACATATACTAAAACGGCTCTAGGAATTTCTTTAATTAGCTTAACCTCCTTTATCTGTTATGAATGAAACAACGATTAACAGCATAGCAAATTAAGGATGAGACTGACATTTATCTCACGCCATAGTGTTCAGTTGTTGTTGTTGTTGTCAGTGTATATAGTTTACTCTTGTTACTGTATTACAGCGCCCCCTTAAAAATAAAAAATGTTTTCTATCTATGTTTTCCACAGATGCTACTTACTTGTGAAGAAAATATTAACGTCCAAAATGGTCGAAACCAATGTGCGGTCTGTACTCGTGTCTTTCTCATTTCGAACCATTCCTTTTTCCCGCGTAAACAATCGCATACAGATAAATTTACGTCTTTAACATCAGTTACGTTTTATGTTGAATTTCTAGCACTTTTCACTGCTCATTTCTAAAAATAGAATAACGTAATATTTGGAAATTCTACATTAATTTTAAGGTTAAACAGCAGTACGGCGGATAACGTTGATGGTTTAAAAGTAGTTTTAAAAGATTGATTAGAAATTAACGAAATTTTAATTACTAATTCTTTATATAAAACATTTTTCTGAATGATTTTGAGTATCTGAAATTTGTACTTATTTTTCTAGTAAACTAGACGTAAAAAATAAATGTATAAAAGAGTTTCTATTATAGTTACTACAAACAGGATTCGTCTTCAAACTTAACAGAAAAAAAAAGTAGAACCTTAAATGTGTATAACGGGGAAGAAATATTAACAATGTATTGTTATATAAATGTTAAACATTTAACATACGATGGAAATGTATGGATAACACTAAAAAAGTATTTCACGCGAAAAATAAATTTAATGTCGAAAGGAAACTGGAAGTAAAATACCAGTTCCTAATAAATATTTACCGTAATAAACATGAATTAGAGACAGTACTTAACATGACGTTTCCTGAAGGGTACGATCTGGAAGGATACAACTTTCGAGAATATTCTTTAATTTAGTTATGTCATTGTGTTTCGAAAGAAATTGTTATATTGTGTCGGAACCAATGAACTCACGAAGTTTTCCTTATTTTTGTACAATTTGTCCACCTAGAACTGATTCTTTGTAGTCCTCGTTTTTCCCTATATAATTATTGGTGTTCAGATATTCAAAGCAGTAGCGAAAAAAAAAATGACAGTGGTCTGCTAGAAGATTGTGTATGCTATATTTTGAAAATTTAAAATTCATTGATCTGCAAGTCTGACATTTAAATTTTAACTTTCTCCATACATTTGACTTTACATGTCACAAATACTGGATATATTCTTCTTTTCTCGCTCTGACCGTGCTTAACACTCGGATACTACAAAGAGACCTCTTTTTTTTCAAACCACGAAGTCCCTTTTGTTTTGTAGATAAAATGTGATCTTGATCCCTCACTTTGGTAACCCTAACTGTTTTGTCTGTTTCTAGGGAAACCGTTCCTCTACAAACAAACAACGGGGACATTTATTCTTGTTTTATAGATATCAAATAAACTCCAGACACAAAGCTAACATTGTTGCTAAGTGCTGGATAATCTTACTCCTACGAAATATCCACCTGTTTCTTGCTCTTTTGACCGAGGTGACAATATTTATTATTAAGCTAGAATTATTTTGTAACAAATTTTGCCAAATCTGACAAAAGAAACTATATATATATATGATATATATGATATATAAATGTGTATAAATATATTCAAATACAGATATATTTTTATTGTTTGGGAAAATGGAAAAACATCTGTGCCACATATAACGTGCCCCACTTATTATTTTGTTATTTCTACTCTAAAGACCAGCATTTGTTAACTTGGGTATCATTGTATGTTCAATTAATGAGTGTTGTCAATAAAACACATATGTATATATATGTGCAGCATTAACACCTTGATGTGTTATTCTTCTTGCTCTCTTAACACATTTCAACAACTTGTGCGACAAATCTGTACTTTCGCGAAAAAAAGGCAATTTTCCACCAATCACGAGACAATTCTGAAGAGGCGGATAACTATTTTTGTTTTTAATAATTATTTCTTCTTGAAAATTAATTTCTTTTTCATAAACGTTCGAACGCTTATCGAGAGCCATGTTTGAAAATAAATGAAAGTAGCTGTTTATCAAAAATGAATTTAATTAATCAACTCGGCTCACTCTCGTGTCATTAATAGCATTCCAAAAGGTCATTCGTATAACACAGAAATAACACCGAAATGAGCTTCGAGAACGTATAAATAACACAGAGTTTGGCTTCTATAATCTACAACGTAAGAAATAACACACGGTGGTTTTACTATAGATACCCGATGAAGAGCACTGCCCGAAACATTGTATGTATATATATATCTGTAGTTAAGATGTTGTTGCCTTCGGTGGTTTAACCTACAACGTATTCCTTTCTAATTTACAACGTAGTTTGTTTATAACTTGGTGTTAACCTATCCATCTGGCGTCTCAATAAAGGCAGATGAGATGTTAATAGAAATCGAATTTTGTATTAAAAGAATCATGCTTTATTAAGGTGGATTTTGTATTTAGAGGATCGTGCTTTATTAAGGTGGATTTTGTATTTAGAGGATCGTGCTTTATTAAGGTGGATTTTGTATTTAGAGGATCGTG